TAAATTTAAAATTCACTTTAAATTCTTGACAATTCTCACTTTTAACCCTGATGGTCTGTCTGACTTATTTTGTTGATCCAACTGAAGGCATCCCCATTATACATGTTTAATTTTTTTTGTCAATCAATTTTGTTTTATTGAGGTTATGCAAGACACAATCAATAAAACGCATACAAGAATGTAGAGCATTGACATATCAGAACAACAGGAAATATGATGTAAATACCTCATTTTTGTATAAAAGATGAGTAAAATAATATTAATAGAAAGGCTGGATATCAGAGCCAGAATACACTGTGGTATAAAATGGGACAATACAAAGATATGCAAATTAATCAGTGGCTTTTAATGCTGGGTATTAAAAGACATATGGATTAATACAATGTGCCTAAACTATGCTCCCAATCCCAAATCCTGTAACAGCCAATACCCACTGGGGGCAGAATACAGTCCTGCAATACCACTGCCCTCCAGAGAGATACAATCCCATTCCCACCATGGTTTGGACAGGTATTCTGTTTGCCTTATATTTGCAGTGAGGACAGCTTCTAATGAGCCTTTTCTGGCCGCAAAGAGGCAGAGACTGAGCAAACTGAGTGAGGAGATCTCCAATGTAAGATCGGGTCTCCCTCTTGGAGAGACCTAGTAAAAGGTCTGATTACCAGCGGCCTTGGTAATGGTAGCACTGGTGTGTGAACGGCTGCACCTGATGGTGCAACTTCCACCAAAAGTTAGCAAAAAGCTGATCCGGCCGAGCCATGTTATTAAGGAGCAGGTTGTGTCAAGGAGTGCATGGCATCCAACATCTTAGATTTATGGATACAACAATAAGCTTTCTCTCTTACATGGTAAACCTGGCCCAGGAGCAATAGGGGTTGGAATATCCTCACTGCCATGGGGAACAGGGTGCAGACCAAAGGCTTCTGTATGTTGGTAGGCTAATGGAGAGTTCGTTCACCTTTCTCTCACCGTAGCTATCACAAGGGCCTCAAGTAGGTCACAGAATCTTCCCTGTCAGGAAATCCTTCAGAGTGGACAGATTTGCTAGTTGAGCCCACAGTGTTGCTTTGTAAGATAAGTAGGATACCTGCTTAAGCAAGATGAAAGACTTCGATAAATATCATTAAATTCAATCTGAGGTGCAGAGCTCAGAAGATATGCGACTATCCAGCATGGCTGTCAAGCCCCAAACACACATCTTTCATTTGTAATCCAATGAGTTCTCCATGATTTCCTTAAAATCTATACACAGATAAATATGTGAATACTTACACTAATGTATATTTTAAAGGCACACTCCAAGCACCATAACTGCTGCACACTTTAACTTCCTACTTGGGGTCGGTCGTGGACCATTCCCTACCACAATGATAAATGAGCGCTTATAGTCTGCGTTAAGCCCAGTGAGGAACTGCTTAGCTCATTGGCCAATTAGCTGGCCCTGCACTGTAGGGCTTAGTTTAGGAGTACTAACAGAAGCTCCTAGCAGGCACTCCTGGCTATCCGTACAGGAAGAAAAGAGGAACTGGTACCTGGAAAGATTAGAAGTAAAACTGTTAGCAAACATTTTGACAGCTTATATTGGGGAACTTTAGTGATTATGATGCATGGAGTATTTATTTTAGCAGTTCACAGTATCAGTTCGTGATTAGAATTGGCTCTGGCTTGAAATCTGGCTTTATATTGCTGTATATATAAATAAAATAAATAAATGCAGCCTTATTTCGCCCATTTTCATATTATTTGCATTTCTGCTTGGCTTAAATATACAATGTGTTATATTTGTTATTCATCAGCATCTGTTAAAGCATTTTGAGTTTGACTAGGAGAATAGTGCTATAATGTTTGATATTCTTTATATTACAAAATATGCAGATATTTAATCACTATTATATAATGATTCTTAGTAGACTTGTGCAAAGTCAAAAAATGTGTAACGGCTGAACCACTTTAATAACCAAAAAGTGGATAGCACTTTTGAAAAATAAATAGTGCTTGTGAAAATAAGCTGCAATCACCTAAAGTGACAAAATAATCCAAAAACCATAAACAGGTGTTGCGTTCAAAATATACTTTACATACATTTATCAAAGAAAATCTGTAAAAAAAAAAAAAAAAAACACAATCTAGTGCAACTTGTCCTTATTATAGTAATAATACACTGTTTCATATACATATGTGAGGGTTACACTCACATTTACTAGAGCCCTATCAACCCTGGCTCTGTGTGCGAAAGACTCCACTTGAGAGGGAATAACCTCCACAGTGCTCAGACCTGGAGACTTTAATTCTCAAAAGATGGCAATTTTAGTATGAAATAGCTGCAGGGATGACAGAACCAGGAAACCCCAATGGCATAGTATAACAACAAATTTTATTTTGCATAAAACAATTAAACCTAGTAAAACCACTTTGTCCCAAAAACTTTTTTTGATTGGATTTCTGCCATATGGTGGTTCGGCTTGTTGAAAGATTCGGAAAAACATATCAGACTAACCAAAATTGGCCAATCCGTGTACTGCAAAATATATACATAATATACATAATATAGTGTAAATTTACAGCACACTGATAGGCTCATGTTCACGCCATTTAGTTCATAGATCAAGGGAATAAAAGAAATCGGTAAAGGGGAAAAAAGGAGGAGCAATAAAATAGCTATATTTATATGTCTAGGTATGATATATTTATTAAATATATAATATATAAATATAGCTACTTTTACAGATTCACCTTTTTTTCCTTGGTCACTTCCCACTTGATCTGTGAATAAAATCAACAATAAGTGGCTGTCCACTAGCAATCAATTATCTTTCTTTCCATCAATCATCTTATGTTTGGGCACCATGGTGGAACTCCACATAGCGAATCCAATGAGCATGTTCGGTTATCACACTAGTCATTTGCTTGGTTATATGTCCATATGGCTTTGGAGATACAGAATTTGGCTGAACAGCCAAACAGGCAAGTTGCAATTCACCATTAAATGAATGCACAAATCTAATATCCAGCACAAAAGAGCAATCTGGACTACTAAAGTGGATGGTACTGGCCAAAATGATGTGTTTATCTGCAACACGTGGCATTTGTAAAGGTCCATGGAAATAAAATCTGTGTTGCTAATGACTTTGTTCTTCTGCTCACCAGTTACAGGTCCTCAACAACTATCCAATACCACAGACAATTGGATTGCTAACATTAAAGCAAATTTATATTTTTGGAGTTTACTTTTAAACTGTCCCCTGGAGGAGGAGATGTTGGAGGTAAATTTACCTTTTTGAATCTCTCTCCTTTTGGTTCCAATCTTTGGCTCCTGAAGGCTTCATGGATAGGAGTTCAAAACAGGGGTGATTTGATTGCCATATATGATTTTGCAGATGGGCAGAAGCAAACTCAAACGTGCCAATGCCACCTTAGTATAAGTGGTAAAAATGTCTTAGAATAGGATCCATCATGATTAAATTCCACTACTGGGTGAATTTCCATTAGGGAAGTCGTGATTTCTTCAGTACATCTTCCTGTCTGAATATTCACATACATTGCAATAATATAGCTCTGTTGGTAGATGGTCCAAATGTAGGATTTCTAGAACGCTTCTATTTCACTATTTCTGTTCTTAGAATATTAAGCATTTTCTCTGTTTGAACGACAAGATAAGTATCATTGAGGCAATGTAATCAGCTATAATCTACAAAATACATGATAAAGAATAAAAACAGAATCTGTAAGTTGCATGATTTCTAGTAATGCATTTTGATAATTATTACAAAATAGTCAAATCAGAACAAAACATAAGCAACGGCTTTGCAGCTTAGAAATAATACCAATATATCCGTGCTAGCTCTATACATGCCAGATATTTGCAATCATTCCTCTTATGTGTATTACAGAATCCAAAAAGAAGAAAAAGGAGGGTAAAAAGCAAGAGAAGCTGATTGACTGAGCAAGCTTGGACTTGGGGAGCTGAGAATGAATGGCTTGAAGAAGCTCCTGCATTCACAGGGCAACATAACATTTTATTTTCTACCTAGACCTGCGATCTCCTAGCCCAATGTTAGGGTAGATGGGGACAAGCTACTCCCTAGAAGGGTTTTGTGATTGGGGGCATTTTTCCTCTTTTTTTAAACCATAACACTGTGTTAGGTGACATTGCAGAGAATGGGATTTACTTTTTATTAGAAGTGTATATAGTTAATTGCAGAACAGAGCACGTTTGGTGCTGATATGTAGAAAATGCTTCTTTGCTAATAGTATATAACAGTTGATGGGATTTGTATATTATGCCTGTCTTTTGTATTATTATTAATATTTCTCCACCTATAGGTGAATCCAGCAACACCGTAAAAACCAAATGTAACTTGGCTACTACTAAAGGCAGCACTCAACACGACTTGTAATGGTTATTGTGCAAAGAGAATGTAGATGCCTTCTTCTTGGTTTATTTTGATTAAATTTGGAGTAGACAGAAAAAAAATGTCAGCACCTATGGTTTGGCCCCATCGGCTGCAGCTCAGCAAATCGCATTATGAAAAACCACATTAGAACGTCCAACTTTGGTGGCAATAATAGGCTGAGTCTGCTGGGCAAACCTGTTCCCGGTTTCACGGTTTATTATCGCTGGCCACAGTTGTAATGATTCACTTCCTTATTAGCCAAGTAGAAGCTGACAAGTCAAGCTTTAGAAAAAAAACACAAGTAGTACTTGCACTCCATCACAATAGGTGCAGGTATCAGGTTACCTCCAAAGACCCTCAATAATATTATACAAAAAAATATACCAAATGATACCGCACTCAATAGAATAGATATAACTGAATACAAATTTATTAGCAAAAATGCACTAAGGACAAATGTAAGCTATCTCATATAAAGACAAGAGAACACCATATGTTTATATATGAAAAATATCTTATCCACTATACTATAAAGTGCAAAAAAAAGTGCTCAAGTGCAAAATATCACATCACCATGGTTCCTAAATGAACATTTATAAAATACAACCATTAATGCCTGTTTTAAAATCCTCTGCACAGAATAAACCGCATGGTCCAGCAAAACAACAGACTGTACATAAAGGTATTGAGTTGTGTGAGACAAAAATCCTGGTAATGTACATCAAAGTTAAAAAAGAGGGATCCCAGAACAAAACTCAATGTTGGAAAAAAAAGGTCATGGACTGATCTCACCCATGGGTTTGGCTGGGAGGCCTCCTGTTTGCTTTAAGAGTCCCAAATCCAGATGGATATACTCTTCTGTAATGTGTCCCAAGTGTTATCTTTAGAAACTCCCACTGGAGAACAGAGAGACTGGAGATGAATGTGTGCAAAGATGTGGATTCCTCCTAGTGACAGCAGGATGCAGGCTGGAGAATTCGGGGCCCAAATTCTCCAGCCTGCATCCTGCTATCACTAGGAATAATCCACATCTTTGCACACATTCATCTCCAGTCTCTCTGTTCTCCAGTGGGAGTTTCTAAAGATAACACTTGGGACACATTACAGAAGAGTATATCCATCTGGATTTGGGACTCTTAAAGCAAACAGGAGGCCTCCCAGCCAAACCCATGGGTGAGATCAGTCCATGACCTTTTTTTTTTTTTTTCAACTTTGAGTTTTGTTCTGGGATCCCTATTGTTTAACTTTGATGTAAATTACCAGGATTGTTTTCCTCATACAACTCAATACCTTTATGTACAGTCTGTTTTGCTGGACCATGCGGTTTATTCTGTGCAGAGGATTTTGAAACAGGCATTAATGGTTGTATTTTATAAATGTTCATTTAGGAACCATGGTGATGTGATATTTTGCACTTTAGCACTTTTTTTTGCACTTAATAGTATAGTGGATAAGATATTTTTCATATATAAATATATGGTGTTCTCTTGTCTTTATATGAGATAGCTTGCATTTTTGCTAATACATTTATATTCAGTTATATCTATTCTATTGAGTGCGGTATCATTTGGTATATAAGTCAAGCTTTAGATGCTAGCAGATCCCTGTTGGTTTTACAAGCCTGGACCCTTAATATGATTTCACATTTCAGTTTTGCAAAACATTTTATTCAAGAAACCCATAATCATACATTTCTTGTAAATGCTTCAGTTCAAAACGTTGGCAGTATGAAGTTACAGAAATACATGGTTTCTCTTTATCTGATCTCCTATTAAAAGAATCCTTAGCAGAGAAACAAATTCCCACAAGTTTCAGCATCTTTCTACAAATTATGAATTTCTCCGTTCATGTCTGTCCTACATACTCACATCCAACTTATTGCGCTTACGCCTGTAAAGTTTTTCTTTTGTCATCAAATATCTATATGCAATTTTTACTTACAAGAAATACTACAGTTTATTTTATATGATTTAAATGTTTACCAGTTTCTATATTGTGTGCTTTGATATACATATTAGTAAAAATTAATTAGGGCATACAATACTTACTAACGTCTTCAAATCTTTAGTGAATCAAATGCAAAGTTTGGAAATATATGCATATGTTAAAGAGGCAATTAAATAGAACCATGGTCATAATAACTATAAGACAACCAGGCATAGTTCAATTGCCAGTTGCTAAAGGAACAGAGATGCAAAGGTCACAATTTGTACCAGAGCAACTGTGAGCCAGATAAGCCAGTACTATTTTTGTCTGTGGGAAACAAAATAACTACAAGGAACATTGAACCCTCTTTTTCCCCCCAAATTCTAGAAGAAAATAGGACCAAGCACCAGTGTAAGTGCAAACAGGACTTTCTATTCTAAATCACAGAGTGACAATGTTTTGGCACAACACAGCCTTTATCAAGGCTTGACAGTGGCTAAATTGAGTTGAAACATTGTCACTCGGTAATTTGGAATTTTGTGTGCATTTACACTAAATGCCTGGCCTTTATGCTGTTTGAGGTGGGTCCTCTGGATTGAGCAGCACCAGTGTGACTTAAATAGTTTGGTGGGTGCCATTTTGAAAGTTTTTAATCACTTTGCCCAAATGTCCAGATTGCTGCCAGTTTGCCTCAAAATGGTGGTGCAAAATACATAATGTGGGATTAAAATATTGATGATGTTCTCAGCAGCTATCTGGAAGTATCAATACAAGGCATTATATTTAGAAAACACCTGTAATAACAGTACAAAGAGTATATTCTGTCCAGATTTGTCTATGTATTATCAACTTGCATAGTGGAATGATGATATTAAATAAACTAATAAACAAATCTGTGTTTGTTCAATACCACTAGGGGACAGGGATCTTGTTGGGGTACTTGTGGGAGTAGTAACATCTAATGATGTATAAACGTGTTAAAAATGTTGCAATGTATTGTGTGTTGGTATGTATGTGTGATAAATAGCTAGAAATCTAGATATATTAGAAGCTCACCTTGTATTTCAGTAGTTTACTAAACCTGGACCCTGATGCTATTCACAGAGAGAGGATTAGTACAGATTTTCTGTTTTATGCAATCTACATTCATATTGACAGGACATAAATCTTATTCAGACAAAAAATACAGGACAATCTCAAATATATCATATAGCAACACAGGCACATATACATAAACCCGGTCAGAAAAAGTCATAAAGGGACAGAGTATCTTGCTCTTGAGATCTTGCAATGCAAAGTTCTGAGTTAACTCATCCAGATGAATTTGGGTATCATACTGCAGTACTGCAACCACTTTCAAAATCACTTTGGTCTATATTTAAGTGGACTTGTTATGGTTTTGTTTTTAGCATAATACAAATCGTTGTTCAAATCAGCAATTTTATTTAATTTGTTTTCTCTTTTACATTATTTTCACTATTAACTGATATGGAAAAAAGTTTATAAAAAAACAAAAGCAACAAAAAATGTATTGTATGGTCTATCTTTAAGAAGTATAGATAAAGTCAACTTATACATGTAGTTTATGTGCTTATATTGTCACATTAACCAACATATATAAAAGATATCAAAAGGTGTCTGAATGTTCATCTTGTGTGTCTCTGGTAGGATATCTGATCCACCTCCCATGACTAAAGACCGTCTATGTCAGGCTTCCCCAACTCCGGCCCTCCAGATGTTGATGAACTACAACTCCAATGATTCTATGAATGAAATAGATAGGCTGAGAATCATGGGAGTAGTAGTTCAGCAATATCTGGAGGGCCGGAGTTTAGGGAAGCCTGATCTATGTGGTGGTTTAAGTGAGAATGTCCAGTCTTTTTTTTTTTTCTTAGAAAGTGACTTAAAGGGGGTGAAGCTAGTTTATTTATCAGGAACCTGACAACACAAAGCAGACATATCAAGCTCAGAAATGATTTCATTGTGCGTTGTAATATGTGGACATTTGTCCAGATGCCAGTAGGACATTTAAATCGTACTCCTTTTCTTATAAATCACTATTTATATAACATTTTTATATAACATTTTGCTTAACCTCACTTTGATCTTAGCCATGTATCATACTGGTATTTCAACCAGAAAAAGATACCCATAACAATAGTAAAGAGTATAAAAGTTAAATCCGTCCTCTTTTTACACAACATGAACTGTAATATAGGACATATTTTGAAATAAAGTAACATACGGTCAATGTTAGACAAATCATTCTATCATGCTAACAACAAAAATATAATATAACAAACATAACTTAAAGGGACACTATAGTCACCAGAACAACTACAGCTTATTGCATTTGTTCTGGTGAGTAGAATCATTACCTTCAGACTTTTTGCTGTAAACTGTCTTTTCAGAGAAAATGCAGTGTTTACATTACAGCCTAGTGATAACTTCACTGGCCACTCCTCAGATGGCTGTTAGAGATCCTTCCTGGGTCATGGCTGCCTAAAATGCATCCAAACATTCAGTATCTCCTACCTCTGCATGCAGACACTGAACTTTCCTCATAGAGATTCATTGATTCAGTTCATCTCTATGAGGAGATGCTGATTGGCCAGGGCTGTGTTTGAATCATGCTGGCTCTGCCCCTGATCTACCTCCTTGTCAGTCTCAGCCAATCCTATGGGGAAGCATTGTGATTGGATCAGGCCACCACTTCAGCAGGCAGTGGGCAGGTTTAAAGGAATACAAGTAAGATTTTACTATTTTTAGGGTAAGGAATACATGTTTGTGTTCCTGACTCTCTAGTGCTCATTTAAATTCCATTGCATGCACAATAACAATGGGATTTCCTATCCATGGCACAAGGTGGCTTTTCTACCTTCCTTTGTTTTAGTTAATTAGATTCTTTAAGGCCAATAAAAGTGACCCTCCTTTCAGAGCAGCAGAATGGAATTATTTACGTGTGCAATGATAGACGTACTCTTTCCCTTTGAGATCTAACCCACCCTTTGTCCACATTATGTTTCATGCAGTATAAATAATTGTATGTTCTAACAAAGGGGAGGGAGGAGAAAGAGACAGAGGGGGAAGAGAGACACATGGGGAGGGGGAGAAAGAGAATGTGGGAAAAGAGAGACACAGGGAGGGGTTAGAAAGAGACAGTGGGAGAAAGAGACAGAGGAGGAGAGGAGAGAAAGACAGAGGGGGAAGAAAGAGACAGGGGGAAGAGAGAAACAAAGGGGGAATGGGGAGAAAGAGACAGTGGGGCTGGGGGAGAGAAACAGAGGGTGGGAGAAAGACACAGGAGGAGGGGGAGAAAGAGACAAAAGGGGAAAAAGAGAGACAGGAGGAGGGAGGAGAACGAGAGAGTGGGGGAAGAGAGACACATGGGGAGGGGAAAAAAAGACAGTGGGGAGTGGGTAGAAAGAGACAGAGGGGGAGTGGGGAGAAAAGAGACAGGGGAAGAAAGAGACAGAGGGGAAAAAAGAGAGACACAGGGGGAGGGAGGAGAGAGAGACATGGGGAGGAGAGGGGAAGAGAGACACGGCGAGGAGAGGGGAAGAGAGACACTAGGAGGAGAAAGACACACAGAGGGACTGGGAGGGAGACAAAGAAACACCCAGAAGGTTTGTTGGGGGAACAAAGAGATATAAAGAAGGGGATTAAGTGACACAGAAGCTTTGTTGGGGGCAGAGCTGGTCTGGGTGAGAAGGACACACAGAGTGGCTGGGAGGAGAGAAATAGGCACACAGAGGGACTGGAGTTAGAAAGAGACACACAGAGGGGATTCAGAAGGAGAAAAAGACAATGGGGCTGGGGGAAAGAGACATACAGAGGGCTGGAGAAGAGTAAAAAGAGACATACAGAGGCTGGGATGAAGTAAAAGATACACAAGGGGATTTGAAAGAGACACCCAAGGGGAGGGTTGAAAGAGACACAAAGGAGAAGAATTGGAGACAAGATACACTAAACGAGGTAAAAAAAAAATCAAAGGAAATAAGAAACAAAAAAAAACAGCAAAAAATTCAAAAGGGGGTTAAGAGAAACAGATGAGAAGATGCATTTGTTTTGTGTGTGTGTGGGGGGCGGAGGAGAAGAAGAATGCATTTTTACCTGTTTCTCATGCTCTCTTTGTAACTCAGCTCTTCAGCATAGGAGTTTGACAGGTGAGAGAAAGACCTCTTATTAAAGATTTTCCATCCAAGATATATATTTTGCTAGCAATCTTGCTAACACAATGTACAAATAGACGTATCTGATGTGCTTCTGACAGTAATACACACACATATATCCATGTATATTAATGTGTGTATTAGTAATATATATATATATATATAATTATGCCTATAGTATTTACTTATTTTAATATACATTCAAAGTGAAGAGCACACTGATAGGACTTCAAAATAAACAAGATAGTTTTTTTTTTTGTTTTTTTATAGTTGTACAAATGGATACATTGACCATTTCATTCCCATTACCAAACTTAATATGTGAAGGTAATTGGATGGAAACATTGATTATATGCAAATGCAATCTGCTTAAAATAAAGCCGCTCTTTTGTTTATTTTGAAGCCCTGTGAATACTTTCTTTCGTTGCATTAATAGTTTTCTTTTCCACCTCTATATCAGCACACTCTGCAGGCACAACTTATTATTGGGCAGGTATATCATTTTTTTTCCAGGGCTGCTTTTAGTTCCCAGTCTGGCCCTGGTTCTAATACAAAAAAAGTGTTTTTCACTAAACCATGAATTCCAGTTAATTTAAGGCTACTTTCCAACCATGCTGGTAAGCTATCGATATTATCAACAGCCGTTAACTATAACGGCTATTAATTGCTGACTTATTTCGAAACCTTTTTCATCAGCTATCAACCAATAACATCTCACAAAATACAGGCCACTCAAAGATCAATATATTGATATTTATTAATACATTGATATATTTGTACACATAGTTACATAGCTGTAATGAGACTTGCGTCCATCAAGTTCAGCCTTCCTCACATTTGTTTTTTGCTGTTGATCCAAAAGAAGGCAAAAAAACCCAGTTTGCAGCCCAGCAGATTTGCCCGTTTGAGTGAAGATGTTGGGAGCATCAGCTCAGGAATAGCTGTACTGCAGGAAGCTGTTCCTTCTAACAGCCATGGGAACAGCCCCTCTAGTACGAGTGGGGTTTAGAAGGTAAGGAAGTCTAGACAGGTTGTGGTGGAAGGGGGCTCTATTATTAAGATAGGGTAATCTGCCACTCTGATCGACTTAACCGGACAGTTTGCTGTCTCCCGGGTGCTCGGGTCCGGCATGTTGCCGACAGTGGAGGGATTATTGGGAGGGGCTGGGGATGACCCAGCTGTCATGGTCCATATTGGTACCAATGACAAAGTCAGAGGAAAATGTAAGGTCCTAAAGAATGAGTTTAGGAAACTAGGAAGTAAGCTAAAGAAAAGGACCTCCAAGGTGGTATTCTCTGAGATATTACCTGTGCCACGCGCTACAGCAGAAAGGCAGCGGGAGATTAGAGAGGTCAATGCGTGGCTAAAGTTTTGGTGCAGGAAAGAGGGTTTTGGGTTTTTAGAGCACTGGGCTGATTTTGCGCTTGGGTACAACCTGCTGTGCTGGGGGATAGGATGGCTAGAAGGTTGGAGGAGATTTTAAACTAGTAGTAGGGGGGAGGGTTAAAGCAATCTAGAAAATGGAGATAGGATGGAAAGGAGATGAGCTTTAGCTCAGAACAAAGGGGGTGGAGATGGGGGGAGGTGAAAGCTCAGAACAGAGGAGGTATGTAATATTGATAATTCACAAAAAGTACAAATGACTCATGATAATATTAAATGTATGCTTACTAATGCAAGGAGCCTATATAACAAAATGGGGGAACTAGAGGCAATAGCATACACTAAACAATATGATATAATAGGCATAATAGAAACATGGTGGGATGAGACACATGCTGGGCGGTTAACTTAAATAGGTACACGTTATTTAGGAAGGATAGGAAAAACAAGAAGGGAGGTGGGGTATGTTTGTATGTTAACCATGGGTTAAAGTCAAATCTTAGGCATGTGGAGTATGATGAGGAAAATGTGGAAAATGTAGATCTCTGCTTGGGGCAAACAAAGGTATATCAATTATTGGTTGGGATATGTTATAAACCACCTAATGTAAATATTAATAAGGAAGAACAGATGTTAGAGCAAATTGGGAAAGCTGCAAATCGGGGTAACACGTTAATTATTGGAGATTTTAATTACCCGGACATAAATTGGGATAGAGGGACTAGTACTTCAGCAAGGGGAATCAGGTTTTTGAATGTGTTAAATGACACTTTTATGTCACAACTGGTACAAGCTTCAACTAGAAAGGATGCTTGTCTGGATCTCGTTAAAACAAACAATCAGTGGCGTACTAAGGGGGGGGCGGGGGGGGCGGTGCCAGCCGGGTGGGGGGTGCCATGAGCCCATGCACACAGCACGCCCGGCGCTGGCAAAACCTCAAAAGAGCCCTTAGAGCCCCATGAGAGGGCTGACGCACGCCGAAGCGCTGACCGAAGAAGGCGGGGCATTTCCTGTCCAGCCAGCCAGCGGTAGTACAGCAGCACGCTGTCGGACTAACTGAAAGTGCACACTGAGTGTGCACTTCCCTGTATCGGCAGTACGAAACACACACCCAGCCCAGACTGCAGGCTTTCAACCGCTACAGGAAGGTAGGGGAAGAGAAAGAAGAAGAGGAGAGTGAGAGAAATGAAGGTGAGAAAAGAAATAAGGGAGTGAGAAAGAAATAAGGTGGAGAGTGAGAAAAAGAAATAAGGGGTGAGAAGAAATAAGGGGGGGTGAGAAAGAGAAATAAGGGGGGGTGAGAGAGGGGTGAGAAAAAGAAATAAGGGGGGGTGAGAGAGAGATAAGGGGGGGTGAGAAAGAGAAATGGGGGGGTGAGAAAGGAGGGGGGGTGAGAGAAAATAGGGCGGGGGTGAGAGAGAAATTAGGAGGGGGGTGAGAAAGAGAAATTGGGAGGAGGAGAAGGAAATTGGAGCGGGAGGAGAGATTGACATTCATCACATACACACAATGCACCCCTTGCACACAGACACACATACACAAGCAATGCAACCGTTACACACAATGCATCCCTTACACACACAGAAACACACAATGCACCCCTTACACACATTCAATGCATCCCATACATACACAGAAACACACCTTGCAGTCCTTACACATACAAACACAATTTCACACAATGCATTCCTTACACACATATCAGGACATCCCTACACACTCCACCCCCTGTGAACAAACTCATTGGTGGAACATGAAGGTGGACCCTGGGACCCAGACCTTGAGCTGTGTAAAGAGCCCTCAAAAAAATGGAGCTGCTTCCCGTTCTCCCAGAACATTGATTTTGTGACCACAGTTACAAACCGCCTCCAGAGAGCCTGTTGTACACCAGACCAGTGGAGCCAGACGGCAGCTAGAGCCCATCATCATCCTCATCTGGTTGTAAGTAGGCAATCTAGTATATTATTCGTGGCACTAATCTCTAATTTACCTCACATTAAAGGGACACTATAGTCCCCAGAACCACTGCAGCTTAATGTAGTAGTTCTGGTGTCTATAGCCTGTCCCTGCAGGCCTTTTAATGTAAACACGGCGGCACTGCAGCACTGGCGTTAGTTAACATGGCAAATCATATGGCTGGGGCATTGTGATGTCACATGGGGGGCGGCAAACTTTACTTTTGCCTTGGGCGGCAAAAATCCTTGTACCGGCCCTGGCTGGAGGGGCTGTGTGAGCTGTGGCCGCACAGTGTCCCATGGAAGTTAGGGTGCCGTGCGGCCAGTACAGCTCACTCAAGCAAACAGCTGATAAACTGGCCGCACGGAGGAAATGTGTATGTGTGACTGTCTGCCTGTGACTGTGTGTGACTGTCTGCCTGTAACTGAGTGTGTGACCGTCTGTCTGTAACTGAGTGTGTGACTGTCTGTCTGTAACTGAGTGTGTGACTGTGTCTGTAACTGAGTGTGTGACTGTGTCTGTAACTGAGTGTGTGACTGCCTGTAAATGTGTGTGTGGGGCTGCAGGGATTTTGTAGAAGGCGGTGGGGGTTTTGTATTGGGACAGGAGTCTTTATAAGGGGGGATAAGCAGGGGATTTGTGGAAGGGGGTTGCAGGGGTTTTGTAGATGGGGCAGTACAGGATTTGTAGAAGGGGCAGGACAGAGGTTTTGTAGGAGGGGCAGGGCAGGACAAAGGTTTTGTAGGAGGGGCTGACAGCGGTTTTGCAAAGTTTACAAATTGTAAAAATAAAAGAAATAAAACCTTTAAAATTTTTTACAGGTTTTTTTTTTGGGAGGGGGGTGGGGGGGGGGGGGGCCAAGCACAGGATCCGCCCCGGGTGCCAAATGCTCTAGGTACGCCCCTGCAAACAATGTTTATCTTTTAACCAACATTTAAGTAGGGAGCATTTGGGAAATAGTGATCACAATATGGTAATTTTTAAAATAAACTCAAAAAAGCAAAAGCACGTGGGGTATATTACAATGTATAATTTTAAAAAATCCTATTTTAATAAGATTAGGGCAGCTCTACAACATATCGACTGGCATAAACTCCTTAGTGATAAAAATACTGAAGATAAATGGAAACTATTCAAACAAATATTTGAAAGGTACATATCTCAGTATGTACCATTGGGCAATAAATATAAAAGAAACAAATTAAAACCAATGTGGCTTAGTAGAGAAGTAAAACAAGAGATTAAAAATAAGAAAAGGGCATTTAAAGCATTTAAATTGGACAAATCAGAGGCATCCTATATAAGATACAAGGAAGCCAATAACGCTTGCAAAAAGGCAATTAAAGTGCCTAAACTAGAAAATGAGAAATTGATAGCCAAAGAATGCAAAACCAACCCCAATTTTTTTTTCCAAGTACATCAATTCTAAAAAAACAAAAAATGAAAGTGTAGGTACACTGGAAACAGAGTTGGGGTTTGTTAGCTAATGAAGACCAGGAAAAAGCAGAAATTTTAAATAACTATTTTCTTCAGTATATATTAACCCCTTAAGGACACATGATGGAAATATTCTGTCATGATTCCCTTTTATTCCAGAAGTTGTGTCCTTAAGGGATTAATGAGGATCCTATGGCAAGAGATATGCAAATGATTGCTGCAAAAAACTTGCAGATAACTTGTGATTGGATTGGACAGTATTCACCACGAGTACTTAAGGAGCTAAGTGGGGAAATAAGTGAACCTCTGTATTTAATTTTTCAAGATTCCTTTGTTTCAGGTATTGTACCGGAGGATTGGAGGAAGGCAGATGTTGTTCCTATATTTAAAAAGGGTTCAAAATCCTTTCCTGGAAATTATAGACCTGTGAGCTTAACTTCTGTAACTGGGAAAATATTTGAAGGGCTATTAAGGGATAATATTCAGGAATTCATTGGGAAGAACATTGTTATTAGCAATAATCAGCATGGTTTTATGAAACAAAGGTCATGTCAGACTAACCTAATTGCATTCTACGAAGAAGTAAGTAGAGGTATAGATCAAGGTGTTGCAGTGGATATGATCTACTTGGATTTGATACGGTTCCTCATAATAGGTTAGTCTTCAAACTAAAAGAAATTGGTCTAGATGAATATTCTTGTTCTTGGGTAGAACATTGGCTTAAGGATAGAGTACAACGAGTTGTCATTAATGGTAAATTTTCAGGCTGGACAAAAGTGGTAAGTGATGTCCCTCAGGGTTCAGTTTTGGGACCGCTTCTATTTAACATATTTATAAATGATCTTGAAATAGGCATTGAAAGCCATGTATCAGTGTTTGCAGATGACACAAAACTTTGTAAAGTAATAAAATATGAGCAGGATATTGCTTTGCTACAGAGGGATTTGGATAGATTGGAGGACTGGGCACTAAAATGGCAGATGAAATTTAACATAGATAAATGCAAAGTTATGCAATTTACACCCTAAATGGTAGTGAACTAGGCATAACCACACACGAGAAGGATTTTGGAATTGTTATAGACAACAAAATAGGCAGCAATATGCAATGTCAATCTGCAGTTGCTAAGGCCAGTAAGGTTTTGTTATGTATAAATAGGTGCATAAATTCTCGGGATGAAAATATAATTTTGCCTCTTTATAAATCGCTGGTAAGACCACACCTTGAATATGCTGTGCAATTTTGGGCACCTGTTCTAAAGAAAGATATAATGGCACTAGAAAAAGTGCAGAGACGAGCTACAAAATTGATAAAAGGAATGGAGCATTTTAGTTATGAAGAAAGGTTAATGGCTATACAGAGGACACACATTTAGACTGAAGGAGAGGAGATTTCATCTAAGGCAAAGAAAAGGTTTTTTTTACAGTATGAGCAATAAGGATATGGAATTCTCGGCCTGAAGAGGTGATTTTGTCAGAGTCATTACAGATGTTTAAACTGCAATTGGATCAATACTTGCAAAAACATAACATACAGGGATATAATTTCTAATTAGTGGGGTAATAGCTGCTTGATCCAAGGAGACATCTGACTGCTAGTTTGGGGTTAAGAAGGAATTTTTTCCAAGTTTGTTGCAAAACTGGAAGCGCTTCAGACTAGGTTTTTTGCCTTCTTTTGGATCAACAGCAAAAACATATGTGAGGAAGGCTGAACTTGATGGACGCAAGTATCTTTTCAGCTATGTTACTATGTAACTATTCATGACAATTCCTCACTGACATTAGCCACAGCTGATTGACATTGCACATTGTTGCATAGTTTGTTGTTTATAACAATTCCCAAGTCCTTTTTGTGTGTTGCTATCCCTTCCATTAAGGGTATACGTTGCTTGTGCATTCTTTACGCCGAAGTGCCTAACTTTGCATTTTTCAACATTAAATTTCATCTGCCATTTGAGTGCCCAGTCCCTCAGTCTATCTAAATCCCTCTGCAGCAAAGTAATATCTTGCTCACATTGTATTATTTTACAGAGTTTTGTGACTTTCAATGCTTTTTTCAAGATCATTTATAAACATGTTAAACAGAAGGGGTACCAGACCAGAACCCCGAGGGACACCACTTGCTACCTCTGTCCAGCTTGAAAATTTACCATTAATGACAACTCTTTGTACTCTATTTTTAGCCAATGTTGTACCCAAGAACAAGAATTTTCATCTAGACCAATTTCTTTGAGTTTGAACACTAATCTATTGAGAGGAACTGTATTAAATGCCTTGGCAAAATCCAAGTATATCACATCCACTGCAACACCCTGATCTATACTTCTACTTACTTCTTCGTAGAACACAATCAAGTTAGTTTGACATGACCTGTGCTTCATAAAACCATGCTGATTATATATTTTTTGATATTTTAATATTTTGAAAAAATCAAGTTAAATGTTTTTCCAAAAATATTAAATCATTTGAAAAGCTTGTAAAAAAAAAAAAAAATCAATTGAGACATTAATTTGCTTAAATGTGGAGACTATCAAATAACTTAGATGGATTTAAAATCCATTGCCATCATAAAAAAAAAATCTCATCTACTTTCTGCTGAATATGTTCTTCCACTTTGTCGACTATTCTTTTATAATTCATTATCAGTGCCAAATAAAAAAAACAATTAAAAACACACATATTAATTGGGATACGCTTTTTATCTAGGCATTGTACACAGCTGCAGGTTTAAGAAAGCAATCTTTGAAGCTTCTTTTTGTGAAAAATTATTACTTCAAAGCTGAGGAACGTCTGCTTCAATCTGATCACATGATTATTGCAATTGTTCAGATGTAGTTTTCTTCCTGCCACACTAGAGGGGGCACAAGATACACTTGTCATTTAGACTACAGAAGGAAGAATTGGTTCAACATCAAATCTTTTGTGCCAAATATCCATTTCGGTTCTTCTGAATATTGTTAATGTGGTGATTCAGTTCATGTGAAACAGTTCATGTGAATCATGAACAGTTAAAATCTTTGGAAGGGGATTTTGATTTTTTTTTATTGGTCATTGAAGTGATCCTTTAGAATATTAACCAAAGTATCTCCGGTATTAACAATTACTGGAGCTGCAGTTCACCAAACCACCAGAATCTCAACACTTCATAATCATAAATTAGTTATAATGACTTAATTATCTTTAACCTAACCCTTACATTATGTTTCATACATTGCTGAAGTAATGGCAGCATTTAAAACTCACTTTTAAACAGTGATGCAGAGGAGGATAGGACTGTCACATTCTAATAGGACACACACAAAAATTAATAATAATAAAACTTTTTTGCCTGTATATTTAATGAAGAATGAAACACATAAATTGATATACTGTATATTTCCGTGTAAAAGACGCCCCCAAGATGACACCTTTTTTTTAGGTCCAAAATTATGAAATAAATATTTTAAACAACAAATAGAACAACTTTGATATTTTAGAGGTGACTTCTGAGGAGAACAACACACTTCTGAATCTCATGCCTCCCCTATGCTATGGCACTTTGTAAAGTTAATGGCTCCAGAGTGCATGCTGGGAGACTACAGCTCCCAAAATACAGCAGGTGGTGTGATGGCATGCTGGGACATCACAGTAATATTCCCTCTGCATCCTGATCCGCATTTCCTCATACATAAATATAAATCAGAAAGCAAGACCTACCTGATGTGGAGCATTAACCATAAATATGGTTGCTTCTTTTATGGTGTGTCATGTCTCCGGGGCTCCGTTTGTGGTAAGTGCTGATGTCTGCTGCAGCTCCCATGCATATAGGGACCTCTTCCTCCTTGCCACAGCATTCAGAAGTGTATCGGCGGAAGGGAGGCCAGGTATGTGTGTGGGCTGTGGCATACTGAAATGCGGCAGGCGCCATCTTAACTGAGGCCCTGTGCAGTGTATTTTTTAACCCCAGCAGTGACATTCAGTATATAAGGCTACAATAATGGGCAATAATAGGCTGAAATTGATTGGAGGTGCTTAACTTCTGACTGCATGAACCCTTCGTCCATTCTCCTGCCTGATTGTATCTGCTCCTATAACCTTTTAAAAAAATAAATAAATCAATTTTAAATTTTAAAACAAAATCTCTGAATGAACAATTTAATTATGCAGCAAGGACAACCCACAGATGGTAGAGCAGAATGGAGGCAAATACTGGTTGAAAAAAGTCCTACATTATGTTTTATTTATTTATTGTTTTACACCCAACATTCAACAAGTAAAGGAGTATTCAATTAAGTATTACATATTTATTAAGGGCTTAATAATATAATATAACGTGGTACAGAATTTTAGACCAAAATCATGTAAGTGCTTAAAATCAATACAACTGAAAGAAGGTGGGGCGGGAACATGTTGAGAAAGTGTCTGTAACAAACGTGAATTGCGTCCAATGTCCAGCTAGATTTTGTTTTGTTTTGTTTTCCTGCCCTTCTTACAGTGGTTTAGATTTTGAGCACTTAAATGATTTGTTTTGCTAATTTATTGTACCCACAAAAACTACCAAATTTTCTCCACCAAATGAGCATAAAAGGTGGAAGGGGGTACCTTACATTTAGTATTGCCAATTTTGTAACCTTGCATGGTGTATTCTGTCAGTTTATTTAATATCTCAAAGATCAACATTAATAATTAATAGCAGTGAGCTGCTGGAATACATTTTCCAGACCATTTTAAAAAGTCTCTGTGATTTAACACCAGACAGTCTATTCAACTTGTTGCAAACATTGGATATGTCCAATTTCACAAGCAGTGGTGTGATTGGCTAAGATTTGAGTTACAGGAGTGGCAACCACATCTCAAGACAAATTAATATCCAGTGCCCTCTAAAACACCTAAAACAATCATCTATCTATATGTCTATCTACCCACCATTTTCCCCCTCCTGCTACAGATCAAGGTCAATCGTGGTAATAATGAATAGTAATTAAATAAATATTTTTTTTATTTTTTTTTATTTTTGTGCCCAGGAAGTTGTCCCTAGCAGAGAGGTGTCTGTAGGTAACTGTAAGCACTGTCTACTTGCAAACCCCAAAAATAGATACGATTTAGTATGGTCAGTATACAAGGATCGACTAAAATAAGTTTGTGAAAAACTATTAAGTTTACGGGTACATTTAAATAAAACATGTTTACACCAACCGGGAAATAGTACATTAGGAAGGATTTGGTATCTGATGGCAAAGAGAGTGGATGTGCTTTTCAAGCAGCTTTGACATCACGGCAAAGGAGTATTGCTAAGGGGGGCTGACCTAGGCTGGAAAAGCCCCAGGTATGAGTTTAATGCCCTTTCATGTTTAGCCCCATATTTCCTGTAATATTGAGAGAGCAATAAACAATTATAACAGTTTTGGCAGTGCCACTTCAATGCACCATATTAGAGGTTAATTATGCAGCACAATGTGAAATAATGCTGGGGACAGAATGTTTTAATGCAATGGATGCTGATTTAATGCTGCTTTAATGTTTGGGGTTAATGTTGGGGTTGCAGAGTTAATAAAACATCCTGTGGATTTAATACAGCATGGTGTGGTTTATAAATATAGGTCTATATAATAATACAAAACAATAATGTACACGCTGTGAAAGACAAATATGTAGCTCTAAAACACCTAAAAAAGTGGTATCCCTTACACCACTAAAAACATAATACAATACATACAGAGTTATAGGTGGAGCTGTGGAGTGTCTTGAATAATCTGGAAAATAGAATATATGCAGATAGCGTAGTATATCTATACAATATATAGCATATAGAAAATGAGAATAAAAGCACTCACAAGGATAGAGTCATACCGTCATATGACTCTAAAAGTATGTTCTCTTGGACCATTAGGGGGTTGTCCAAACCCTTCTTTTGTTAATTGCTTGTTATTTCTTCTGATGGTCTTCAATAAAGATGCCCAGTATACCAAGGATCTTTGAAAAATAATTCTTGTTTATTTGTAAAATAAAATAACAAAATGGCAATATACTATACCAATAAATATTGGATGTAGATAGAGTCCAATAAAAAAGTCTATAAAAGTTGAAAATGAGTGTCCAAAACGCGTTTCGCCTGATTAACAGGCTTCCTCAGTTGGCTCTAATATTTCTTCCAATGTTTTCTTTTTTTGAAAATGCCGCCGGCCGGCTGTATCTTCTTTTATATGGCACTTCCTGATTCCGTCTGGTGGAACGCAACGTGCGTTCCAACTACGGCATTAACTTCCGGTACGCACCGCAAGTGGAACGCACGTGCGCCCCAACTCCGTGCGCATACCGGAACTTCAGCGCCGACTTCCGGATGGAGCGCCCGCGCGCCCCAACCCGGCGCCAACCTCCGCAACGCACCACAAGTGGAACGCACGTGCGCTCCAACTTCAAGCAGCAGTTCACTTCCGGGTCTCTCTACACTTCCGGGTCATACTCAGGTGGAACGCACGTGCGTTCCACTCCCAGCCTCACATCGGGTGGCCAAATGTGAACCTAAAAATGGCGTTCTGCCTGTATTTACACAATAGTAGTGTGACATATAAAATTATAAGTGCTATGTCTTAAATAATATAAAAAATCGAATATTATGAGAGAGAGTAAAAATCAAATTTTATGAGAAAGAGTAAAAACTAATACTATTAGTTTTAGGAGATTGCTATCACAATCTTAAAGGGGCAGAATGTCATTTCTAGAAATTTGGTAAAAATACACAATAAAAACTAAATAAAATACATATAATAGCCGATAGTGAAAGAAACACAAAAATGGTATGCAAATGTATAAAATGATGCCTAAAAACTTTCATGAAATAATATAAAACCAAGATAGGCTAAAACTAATGCATAAAGTGGCATAGTTCAAAATCATTGTTCAGACCGTTTGGAGTCATAGTGTCAAAATTGAATATGAACTTCATCTCTTCCTTTCCTATTTTGTTCACATAATCACCACCTCTCCAATCTTTTTTGACTAATTTTAGAGCACTAATTTTTGAACTATGCCACTTTATGCATTAGTTTTAGCCTATCTTGGTTTTATATTATTTCATGAAAGTTTTTAGGCATCATTTTATACATTTACATACAGGGGTGGACTGAGAGCCTTTGGGGCCCCCGGGCAAAATTAGATCCCAGGCCCTTTGAAGGCCAAATATATGTGCATTTTAATAAATGTTAAATATAATTCAAAATACGGCATTCCTTTGGATGTGTGTATTGTGAAGACCTGTGTATCAATGCATGTTTGTATTTGAGTCTGTGTGAATGCACTTGTGCATGTCTGGATGACTACATGTGCTTTTTTGTATATAGTGTCTGTGTGAATGCATATGTGACAGGTGACAGAGTGTGTGAGGGAGAAGGTGACAGGTGGAAGAGTGTGGGAGGTTGTGACAGGTGGCAGAGTGAGGGGGTACCTGGTGGCAGAGTGAGGGAGGGAGGGGTTGAGTGGTGGCAGAGTGAGGGGGAGACACAGTGAGTGGGGGTGACTGATGACAGAGTGAGGGAGTGGGTGACTAGTGACAGAGGGAAGGAGAGGGGGAGACTAGTGACAGAGTGAGGGAATGGGTGACTAGTGGCAGAGTGAGGGAGGGAAGAGATGACTAGTGGCAAAGTGAGGGAGGGAAGGGGTGACTAGTGACAGAGTGAGGGGATGACTGGTGACAGAGTGAGGGGGGTGACTGTCACTAGTCACCCCATCCCTCTCTCTGTCACTAGTCACTCCCTCCCTAACTCTGTCACTGTGTCACCCGCTCCCTCACTCTGTCACTAGTCACCCCCTCCCTCACTCTGTCACTAATCACCCCCTCTCTCCCTAGTCACCCCCTTCCTCACTCTGTCACTAGTCACTCCATCCTTCTCTCTGTCACTAGTCACCCCATCCCTCTCTCTGTCACTAGTCACTCCATCCCTAACTCTGTCACTGTGTCACCCACTCCCTCACTCTGTCACTAGTCACCCGCTCTCTCACTATGTCACTAGTCACCCCCTCCCTCACTATGTCACTAGTCACCCCCTTCCTCACTCTGTCACTAGTCACCCCCTCTCTCACTCTGTCACTAAGGACAGAGGGGGTGATTAGTGACAGAGTGAGGGAGGGGGTGACTAGTGACAGAGTGAGGGAGCAGGTGACACAGTGACAGAGTTAGGGAAGGGGTGACTAGTGGCAGAGTGAGGGAAGGAAGGGGTGACTAGTGACAGAGTGAGGGAGGTGGTGACTGTCACTAGTCACCACCTCCCTCACTCTGTCACTAGTCACCACATCCCTCTGTCACTACTCCCTCCTTCCTTCTGTCACTACTCCCTCCTTCCTTCTGTCACTAGTCACGCCCTCCCTCACTCTGTCACCAGTCATCCCCTCCCTCACTCTGTCACCAGTCATCCCCTTCCCTCACTCTGTCACCCCCTCACTCTGTCACTAGTCACCCCCTCACTCTAGTGACAGAGTGAGGGAGGGGGTGACTAGTGACAGAGTGAGAGAGGGGTGACTAGTGACAGAGTGAAGGAGGTGGTGACTGTCACTAGTCACCCCCTCCCCTCCCTCACTCTGTCACTAGTCACCCCCTCCCTCTCTCTGTCACTAGTCACACCCTTCCTCACTGTCACTAGTCACCCCCTCCCTCTCTCTGTCACTAGTCACACCCTCCCTCTCTCTGTCACTAGAGTGAGGGGGTGACTAGTGACAGAGTGAGGGGGGTGACTAGTGACAGAGTGAGGGGGTGACAGAGTGAGGGGGTGACAGAGTGAGGGGGTGACAGAGTGAGGGAAGGGTTGACTAGTGACAGAGGGAAGGAAGGGTTGACTGGTGACAGAGTGAGGGAGGGAGTGGGTGACCAGTGACAGAGGGAGGGGGTGACTAGTGACAGAGTGAGGGAGGTGGTGACTGTCACTAGTCACCACCTCCCTCACTCTGTCCCTAGTCACCCCTCACTCTGTCACTAGTCACCCCTTCCCTCCCTAACGCTGTCACTAGTCACCACTTCCCTCCCTCACTCTGTCACTAGTCACACCCTCCCTCACTGTCACTAGAGTGAGGGGGTGACTAGTGACAATGTGAGGGAAGGGGTGACTAGTGACAGAGTGAGGGAGGTGGTAACTGTCACTAGTCACCACCTCCCTCACTCTGTTACTAGTCACCACCTCCCTCTGTCACTACTCCATCCCTCCTTCTGTCACTAGTCACCTCCCTCGTCCCTTACTCTGTCACTAGTCACCTCCCTCGTCCCTTACTCTGTCACTAGTCACCCCCTAACTCACTATGTCACCAGTCATCCCCTCACTCTGTCACCAGTCATCCCCTCACTCTAGTGACAGAGTGAGGGAGGGTGTGAGTAGTGACAGAGTGAGGGAGAGGGTGACTAGTGACAGAGTGAGGGGGTGATTAGTGACAGATTGAGGGAGGGAATGGGTGACCAGTGACAGAGTGAGGGGGGGTGACTAGTGAGGGAGGGGGTGACTAGTGACAGAATGAGGGAGGGGGTGACTAGTGACAGAGGGAGGGAGATGGTGACTAGTGACAGAGGGAGGGAGATTGTGACTGTCACTAGTCACCCCATCCCTCCCTCTGTCACTAGTCACTCCCTCCCTAACTATGTCACTAGTCATCCCCTCCCTCACTCTGTCACCAGTCACCCCCTCCCTCTGTCACTGTGTCACCCCATCCCTCCCTCTGTCACTAGTCACTCCCTCCCTCACTCTGTCACTATTCACCCCCTCCCTCTGTCACTAGTCACCCTTTCCCTCACTCTGTCACTAGAGTGAGTGGGTGACTAGTGACAGAGTGAGGGAGGGGATGACCAGTGACAGAGGGAGGGGGTGACTAGTGACAAAATGAGGGAGGGAATGGGTGACTAGCGACAAAGTGAGGGAGGGAAGGGGTGACAGAGTGAGTGAGGGAAGGGGTGAAAGTGAGTGAGGTAAGGGGTGACTAGTGACACAGTGGGGGGTGACTAGTGACAATGAGGGGGGGTGACTAGTGAGGGGGTGTGACTAGTGACAGTGAGGGGGGGTGACTAGTGGTCCCCTCATCACTTTATCAGGGTCACAGCTCCGATGAGGGAGGATTTAGGTGTATGGGAGACATTTCTGAAGGACTTCAATGGATGTGTTTTCTTTAGGGATATGGTTATTGCATTGTCCGATTTGGAACTTTTTACCGACGCATCAGGAAGCGTGGGTTTTGGGGCTTACTTTGCGGGGCATTGGTGTGCGGAGAAGTGGCCTGAACACTGGACAGCCCACTTATTCGGAACTTGGCCTTCTTCGAGTTATTCCCGTTAGTAGTAGCGCTCTCATTATGGGGTCAGGTTTTTCGTGATAGGAGAGTGATTTTCTTTACGGACAATATGGAGTGGGGGCTGTGAATAATCTTTCGGCTTCTTCTGTTCCAGTGGTTCGACTTCTTCGTCGATTTGTCTTGTATTGTATGCAGTTGAATATTGTTTTTTGTGCACGTCATGTCCCGGGATTCTTAAACGTAATTGCGGATTCACATGTCCGGATCACATGTGGCGGCTTGGGACTTCTTGCTTGGAGGACTGATCAGAGATTTGTAGGCTCAGGGCACTTGGGTGGAGTAAAGTATGGAACAGTTGGGATGAAGCTGTACGGGGGATCGGGTCTCCGCAGAGGTACGTCTCGATACTCTCTTATGGTTTCTTTGCCGCTTGTTCGCGGCAGGGGCTTCTCCGGCAGTAATCGGCCGGAACCTTTCAGCTTTGGTGTTTCTTTTCAAGCTAAATGGGTGGGAAGATTCGACAAAGTATTTTCTATTACGACAGGCAGTGAAGGGTTATCGCAAGGGTAAGACGGAACCTGACACTAGGAGACCGGTGTCTTTTGCAATACTTCAACAGCTGTTGGGAGTCCTGCCAGGTCTATGTTATTTGCGGTTGCCTTTGTATTGGCTTTTTTTCTGGGCTTTTCGGGTGAGTGAAATTGTGAGTGGCAATAGGGTTCGGCAAGGGGGTCTCCAGTTCGTGGATGTGGAATTGGGGGGAGATCACGTAGCCATTCGATTACGGCGTTCGAAGACAGATGTATTTGGGAAGGGCTGTACCGTGGAATTATTTTCGCTACCTCAGGTAGCGGTTTGCCCGGTGGGCTGCGCATGGTGGTATATGGAGGTCCGTCCAAAGGGTCAAGGTTCCTTTTTTCGGCATGTGGATGGTTCGGATCCCACGCAATTTGGTACCCACTCGTTTAGGACTGGGGCAGCCACGGAGGCTGCACGGTTGGGTCTGGGTGATGAATTAGTTAAAAAGAT